ACAGAAGAAGTAGTTCCTGAAGGCCTCTGACAGTGAAAAGGAGAGCGGAGGTGGGGCGCAACGCATGCAAGTGAGGTGAATCAGTGGATGACATCCCCTGAAAATAAGACCTGGTGGCTTTTTTTTAGTGGCAAAAAAATGTAAGGCAGCATCTTATTTTCAAGGAAGCAGGGTAGAAAGAATTGGAACTGTTCCTGGATCTTCCTCGTCTAGGGTTTGTATTTCCTTGGGAAGATCCTTCTGGGAATCAGGCAGGTCTCACAGAGCAGGCACACCCCGCCAAACACCAGAAGAAAACAGCCTGACAGATTTGAATTTGCATGGGCGCTGGTTGGCAGAGGTTATTCAAATGTCTCAAAACGCTTCGGCAGGCATTTGTGCTTACACAATGACGCGGCCTCCTCAAAAGAGTCCAGTTCCAGGGAACTATAACCAGAGGGTGTGAATTCACAGAATTGATTTTCTGCTAAAAAGAGAAAAACCCCAAAGGTTGCATCATTTCAGTCCCCTGGGGCTGGTCTCTGTAACAAAAAAACAAAACAAACAAGAAAAAAGAAAAACACCCACACAGCTTTGAAAGTAGAAAAAATATTTTATTGACACATTTCAACTATAAACACACAAGGCCCCCTCCGATCTCCTTTGTTCCAACAGGAGATGATCTGAGGATCTGATTTCTTTTTTTTCAAGTAACGGTCCCCATCGAAAGGACAGACCACTGTTTATTTAAGGGAAGGGAAAGGCTACTTAGAGAATAGAAAAGTTAGTAGCAACCATGACACGGCACTAAATGAGATAAATTCCTGGGCTCTCTAGCCCAGCGTTCCTCAATTTTGACAACCTTACGATGTGTGGACTTCAACTCCCAGAGTTCTCTAGATCAGGGGCCTTCAAACTCGACAGCTTTAAGACTTGTGGACTTCAATTCCCAGAATTCCTCCTCCAGTCAGGTTAGCTCAGGAATTGTGGGAGTTGAAGTCCACAAGTCTTAAAACTTGCCAAGATTGAAGACCCTTGCTTTAGACAGTACAGTGGCTGGGGAATTCTGCAAGTTGAAGTCCATGCATGCTGGCTGGGGGATTCTGGAGCGGAGGTCCATGTATAGGGGATTATGGGAGTTGAAGTCCATACATGCTGGTCAGGGCATTCTGAGAGTTGTAATTCAAGTATGTTAGCTGGGGAATTCTGGGGGATGAAGTAGAGGCATGCTGACTTAGGAATTCTGGGATCTGAAGTCCAGGCATGCTGGCTGGAGAATTCTGGGACTTGAAGTCCACACATTTTAACATTGCAGAGGTTGGGAAAACACTAGACCAGGGGTCTCCAACCTTAGCAACTTTAAGACTTGTGGACTTCAACTCCCAGAATTCCCCAGCCAGCTCAATTCTGGGAGTTGAAGTCCACAAGTCTTAAAGTTGCTAAGGTTGGAGACCCCTGCACTAGACTTTATCTACTGTTATCAATCAGGGCTGGCTGTCCCAAAAGGCAATTCTTCACAGGATAACCAAGAAGGACAACCCAGTGAAGCCAAGCTGCCAACTGTGCTTAAGGGCCCTTTTTAGCTCTACCCAGAAGGAAGGAGTGTGCCAAAGGAATAGCTAATCAACCTAGCCATCCATTTCATTATAACTAGCCGCTGATGAAATTGCTTGGCTCAGCGATGAAACATCTCAGGTTAATGAATTAATAAATTCTAGTTCAGTTGTCACGAGTCAACTTTTTAGGTACTTTTGGGCTGGATGATTGAGTCTACATTGACAAATCATTTTGGAGAGAAACCCTTGAAGTCAGTGTGGCAAGAGTCGGAACATTCCAACAATTCTCTGACTCTCTGCCTATTTATTGATTGATTTATTTTATTTTATTTTATTTTGACTGAGGAAGTTGCTTGGATGAGCAAGGAAGCGTCTCAGATTAACCAATTCCAGTTGCCACAATACTTTTGGCCTGGGTGGTGGAGGAGTCTACACTGATATACATATAACTAGCCACTATTCTCCAGAATTTCAGTTTCCCACGGCTTGCTGGAGAATTCCCTGCATATAAAATGGATGCTGGGGTCAAGATATGAATATAACAGAATAACAGAGTTGCAAGGGACCTTGGAGGTCTTCTAGCCCAAACCCCTGCTTAGGCAGGAAATCCTACACCACTTCAGACAAATGGTTATCCCACATCTTTTTAAAAACTTCCAGTGTTGGAGCATTCACAACTTCTGGTGGCAAGCAGTTCCACTGGTTAATTGTTCTCACTGTCAGGAAATTTCTCCTTAGTTCTAAGTTCCTTCTCTCCCTGATTAGTTTCCACCCATTGCTTCTTGTCCTGTCCTCTGGTGCTTTGGAGAATAGATTGACTCCCTCTTCTTTGGGGCAGCCCCTGAAATACTGGAAGACTGCTATCATGTCACCCCTAGTTCTTCTTTTCATTAGACCCACTAGACATGTCCAGTTCCTACAACCGTCCTTTATATGTTTTAGCCTCCAGCCCCCTAATCCTCTTTGTGGCTCTTCTCTGCACTCTTTCTAGAGTCTCAACATCTTTTTTTACATTGTTGAGACCAAAACTGGATGCAGGATTCCAAGTGTGGCCTTACCGAGGCCTTATAAAGGAGCATTAACACTTCACGTGATCTTGATTCTATCCCTCTGTTTATGCAGCCTAGGACTGTGTTGGCTTTTTTGGCAGCTGCTGGACACTCTTGGCTCATATTTAAATGGTTGTCCACTAGGACTCTGAGATCCCTCTCACAATTACTCCTATTGAGCAAGGCACCACCTAAACTGTCACCGACTTCATATTAGGGCGGTCTCATTTTTCCCAGGTACAGCGATTCCGTTTTTTAAAAATTCCTTTCCGATCATCGCAACCGCCCTGACTCACACTCCAGTGCTACAACTTCCTCCGATGACTAGGAATCGACCTTGGGAGTTTCTGAAATTTCACTCCTTCAAATGCACCCAATATTCCACCTAGCCGTTTTTTTGGAAATTCCCCCAATTCTCCCCTTCTTTCCCAGACGTTTTATCATTCTGGTCCTTCCCCCATTCCAATATCCGTGCAGCTCAGGCTTATTTCTTCAACCTCGTGGTGACGAAAGAGCCGGGAGAACGGAGAAAATGAGTCAGCCTTCCTGGGTCTTCTCGGAGGGGGTGTGGGGAGATTGACTTTGAAAGAGTTTTTGGCTTCTTCCTCCTGGCTCTGCTTCTATTTTGCTCACGGTGGTGCAATTCACAGTCTCGCCATTGGTCGGAGACACAGCGCCACCAACACTGGCAGCTTTAGCAATTTTTAGGAGACAGTGAAATCATAGGACATAGAATAACAGGATTGGAAGGGACCTTGGAGGTCTTCTAGTCTACCCCCCCCCCCCCCGCTGCTCCGACAGGAGAATCTATAACCATTCCAGACAAATGGATGTCCTGGTCTCTTCTTGCAAACCTCCAGTGATGGAGCACCTACAACTTCTGGTGGCAAGTTGTCCCACTGATCAATTCTTCTAACCGTCGGGAAATTTCCCCTTAATTCTAGGTTGGCTCTCACTATGATAAAGTTTCCATCTGTACCTTCTTGTCCTGCCTTCAGGTGCTTTGGAGCAGGGGTCTCCAACCTGGGCCACTTTTAAGACTGGTGGACTTCAACTCCCAGAATTCCTGAGCTACCATGACTGGAGGAGGAGGAATTCTGGGAGTCGAAGTCCACCAGTCTTAAAAGTGGCCAAGGTTGGAAACCCCTGCTTTGGAGAAGAGATTGACCCCTGCTTCTTTGTGGAAGCCATTTTGATATTGGAAGAGGGCTATCCGGTTACCTCGGGTCCTTCTCTTTATTACACCAGACACATCCAAGTCAGGGCTGGGGCTGCAGGGGGTTCGCGAGAGCCCCTAGCTAAGATTCTGCACAGTTCAGGGAACCCCCAAATCCCACTCCTGGCTGGCCCCACCTGCCCCTCCCAGGAGTCCCCACGTGGCCCGTTTTGGATGCAGGTAAGTGCAGGGGGCGCACGGAAGCTTGAGAAAGGTGAAAAGCAGGCATCCCGGAAGTTCGGGAAGACCGGAAATGGGCCTATTTCCGGCTTCCAGAGAGCCTCCGGAGCCTGGGGAGGCTGTTTGCATCCTCCTGGAGGATTTAGGAAAAACACCCCACACCCACCCACCGTGGTGCAGGAGGCCGACTAGGCCACACCCACCATGGCTACGGTCACCCAGCAACCGGGCAGAGAACCCCTTGCTAAATTTTTTGAAGCCCACCCAGATCCGATTCCCTCAATTATTCATCATATAATTCATCCTGACCCGCACCCACCCACCCCGATCATTTCTGTTGCTCTTCTCTGCACTCTCTCTTCGAGGTCTTTCTTTCTCTCATGATCCCTCAGGTGTAGCTACTGGCTGGTCGTTTCCAGTTGAAATCACGTTGAAAGTGGATAAGATCAAGGAGGGTGAAAAGGAATCAGCTCATTGGGGGAGGCGGGGGGGATTAAAATAAAGGGGTTTAAAGAAAATAGGATTTTTTACTCTGGGAAATGCCTCGCTTCCTTTCTTGACCAGGTCCCCTTCCTCGTCTTTAATCAAGGTACCCCAGTTGATGCTGGGCCGAGGAATTGGCTCTCGATCCCCCAAAACACTAGGTGTGTTAAAGGCAGGCAGCCCTTGACTTACAAAGGTTCGTTTAGCGACCGTTCAAAGATTAAAAACGGCACTGAAAAATGTGACCGTGTTTCACCATTACGACCGTTGTGGCATCCCCATGATCACACCATCTGAAATCCGGACTGACTCATATTTATGACGGTTGCAGAGTCCTGGGATCACATGATCCCCTTTGGCGACCAACCAAGTCAGCATGGAAAACCCGATTCACTTAACAACCGTGTTACTGATTTAAGAACTGCAACAAGCTCACTTAACAACGATGGCAAGGAAGATCGTAAAATGGGGGGGGGGGGGCGAAACTCACCGTTGAGCGACGGTCTCGATGCTCAAAAACAGAAATTTGGGGCTCAATTGCAGTCGTACGTCGAGGACTACCTGGGCACACTCCTGCGATTTGGGGGTGCCTTGGGGAAAAGCCTCGTGGCTGCCAACCCTCCTACATCCCACCTGCACATGTCGCTGCACACAATTCAACCTGTAAACAAGACCCCTCAAAACCCCGAAGAAGGTGCCATCATCATATTGCAATCCCTAACACAATACACAGCCACAAGGCTTAAATACACACAGAGCGACCATATTAACTTCACTCAAGTTAAATTAATGCCTATTAAATACAAAGAACACCATTGATTCAAATGGATGGGTTTTTTTTTACCCCACTCGAGCGTCGCTTCCAGCATTGTGTCAAAAAGTCACGTTCGGCCCTCAGCTGAGAGGAGTGGATTGGGCTTTGGATTTTGAGTTCTCACAGCTCCTCTTCCTTGGAGCTAAAACATGATCCCTGAACAAAAGGTAAAGATTTCGTGTCTGACTCTAGGGCACGGTGTCCATCTCTGTTTCTTGGCCGAGCGAACCAGGGTTGTCCGAAGACATTTTCCATGGCCACGGGGCCAGCATAGCTATAACGACAAAGGTGCATGGAAGGCTGTTATTTTCCCACCGAAATGGTACCTATTTATCTACTCGCATTTGCACGCTTTCGAACGGCTAGGTGGGCAGGAGCTGGAGCAAGGAGCGGGAACTCACCCCTGTAGTATGGAGCGCGGGTCTCGAACCCCTCCGTTTTTCAGCTGACAAACTCTTGTGTCTTTAACCGCTGAGCCATCACGTCCCCTTGAACACTCACCCCCAAATTGGTCCAACCCAGATTCTGCTCAGGTAGTGGTGTGAGGTACATTCAAAGAGATTGGGAGAGAGGGAGATATCGCTGGATCAAGAAGGTCACTGTTGATTTTTTTTTTTTTTTTTGGACGCCTGAAGGGTCATCTCAGGCTGGCTGGGCTCTGCTACATCACCATCTTTTAACAACCCCATAATCCCTTGCGGGGTAGATTCTGGGCAACTGAATGGAGCTGAGTTTTTACTGGCCGGATACCCTCCCTGTTGCCAATGCGGAGTTATATTCAGTGGACATATACTCAATGTGCTGGGCTCTGCTACATGTCAATTTGAAAAGGAAAGTAGTTTCAAGTCTGCAGCAAACGTGAAGAAATGTCAGGCTGGAAACCCACGGCGGCAGCAACGCCTTGACTCATTCTTCTGCCTTGTGAAATGGTCCTTGAGAAATCATCCTGTCCCACAAAGCTGCTGAAGGCCTCTGGACTTCCTCTCGTCAGCTGCCCCCAGGGCCACCGTCAGTGCTGTGGAGCCACTGCCCTTCGCAGCCAAGAACCGCCTGACCTTCCAAGTCCAGTAGTCTTTGTGACTGGTCCATCCCTGGGTACCTCATGGACATCCGACTGGCCAGGGTTCTTGGCGGCATGGATATTACTGGATGGTTCAGGCCTATCGGAAGCAACTGGAGAGGATGGGAGGAGACGTGAGGGCTGGAAGGAGTAAAGGGATACAGGGCAGTGTGGAAGGCAGGATCGGTCACGTTCTCGGGGTGGAGAACCTGGGAGGATCTTGGAAAACCCATCGGCTGCTCTAGGGTGGATGAATGGGGACTTCTGTCCAGTTCCATGCCAGGCAACGGGGCAGAGGTTGAAGGTCCATTCGTCACGATAATGCTTTCTGGCCTCAGAGTGGTTGTGTTGGGCGAGTGGCCTGCTATGTGAGGCTTTGGCGTGTGATCAGGGCTGGGGATGGTGGAACAGGAGTCAGGTGAAGCGTGGAGCACATCTGAAGGGGGATAAAAGCACTGTTAGAAGGGCAATCCATTGATTAACTGAACGCATATTGAATTTTATGGGGCTGGGTTGTGGTGGAGTAACCTCGGTGACTTTTAAGACTTGTGGACTTCAACTCCCAGAATTCCCCAGCCAGTGTTGCTGGCTGGGGAATTCTGGGAACTGGAGTCCACGGGTCCTAAAGTTGCCAAGGTTGGACACCTCTGAGATGGAAGAAGGAATGACCATTCCTAAATGGGAATTAATTATGGGCTTAGCATGAAATACATATTGCTCTTGTGAGCAAACTGTTTTGAGGAACATCAACGTGATCCAGAGGTGGTATTCAGCAGGTTCTGACCAGTTCTGGAAAACCAGTAGCGGAAGTTTTGAGTAGTTCGGAGAACCAGCAAGCCCTGCCTCTCACTGGCCCTGCCCCCATCTATTCTCCGCCTCCCGAGTCCCAGCTGATTGGCTGGGTCTCCTTTGGTTGCCCTGCACAGGAGAACAGAGCTGGAAAGCAGGTTAGTGGGGTGGGGAGGGAAAGGGGATTTTGCAGTATCCTCCCCCTGTCACGCCCACCAAGCCACGGCACGCCTGCCATGCCACGTCCACAGAACCGGTAGTAAAAGTTTTTGAATCCCACCACTGCCAAGGAGGCAGTTGAAACATGGCACAAAATCCAGGCTGCCTATCTGGGGAAGAAGTTACTTACGGCTGTGAGTCCGAAGGCCCGGAGAGCTGCCAGTGCTGACTGTGGGGGACGAGCCATCATGGCTGTTTTCGGGGTGTGGGATAGGCCGAACAGCTTTTCCTTTCAGGATGTCAATCACCTGGAGATCCAAAAGAGAAGGTGACATGTTGTACTGTTTCTACCGAAAGACTGGATCTGTCGCTCTCAGTCGCCATCACGGAGCGGATTACCACAGGTTCAGAGGTGGTATTCAGCAGGTTCTGACCAGTTCTGGAGAACTGGTAGTGAAAATTTGGAGTAGTTTGGAGAACCGGCAAATACCGCCTCTCACTGGCCCCGCCCCCAATCTCTTCCCCGCCTCCTGAGTCCCAGCTGATTGGCTGGGTCTTCTTTGGTTGGCCTGCACAGGAAAACGGAGCTGGAAAGCAGGTTAGTGGGGTGGGGAGGCAATGAGGATTTTGCAAAATCCTTCCCCTGCCACGTCCACCAAGCCACACCCACAGAACCAGTAGCAAAATATTTTGAATTCCACCACTGTACAGGTTCCTTAAGCCTGAGGTCACCTGACTATGCCTTCAACCTCCTGCAGGCTTCCCCATTGACTTCGCATATCAGAAGCTGTCAGGGAAGGTCAGAGAAAGCGATTCTGTGATGGCAGAACGCGGCAACGATGTCATTGCGTACAGGTTGCTGCGTGCCCGAAATTGCGATCCTGTGACCATGGGGGTGTTATGACAACTACAACAATCTCAACTATGAGGACCCATAGTAAGTTCCTCGTTGTAACCTCAAGCAGTCACATAAACAAGTGGATGTTAATTTGTGGATAACCTTCAACCCTTTGGTTTTCCAAGGTTTTGAGATGAGAAAACTAGCAACAGGTAAAAAGGATCTAAATTTTGATCAAATTTAGGTAAAATTTAAGGTCATAAGGTAAGGAGAGGAGGACCCTCATCTTACCACCAGAACAGGAAGCAGAATTTCTGGTTGCTAAGGAAGTTGATGTTTAATTGAGTTACGCCTGATTATATGACCATTTTTGGATACGGTTGTTCAGCGAATCCCTGCAACTATGAAGTGAATGTCACGGTTAAATGAAGTGAATCAGGCTTCTGCCCCTGACATTCCTTGTCAGGACCTGGCTGGGAAATTTTTCACATCCTTTTTGGCACCATGCCCCTAGTTCTGTGATCAATATTTGGACACTTGGCAACTGGCTCACATTCGCGATGGTTGCCATGTCCCAGGGTCATGTGATCCCTTCCGACAAGTGAAGGGGCAGCCAGATTCCCTTAACAACCAAGTTACTAATTTAACAAATGCAATACTTCACTTAACAATTGTGGCGAGAAAAGTGGGCAAAGTTTACTTAACGTCTCGCTCAGCCACAGAAATTTTGGGCTCAATCGGAGATGTTAAGTCCGAGGACTGCCTGTCATGAACTCGGGTCACCATCCGTGGGGGAAATCACCTACCGAAGCCCCACTGCATTTACACCAAAGATGCGCCTCTTGTATCCTCCTGTTGTTAACTTTGAGGAAACGGTTTAACCAGTCTGACCTGAATGATGTCGCTCCCCTTGTAAACACCGCTTTCTGCTTCCTGTCCTTTGTCCCAGAGCCAAAGCAATTGCTCTGCGTCTCTCTTGATGCCTTTGTCCACATTTCTGGAATAATATTTCCCCTCTGCCAGCAGCTCCCCCACTGCAGTTGTTAAGTGAGTAACACAGTTGTTAAATGAACCTGGCTTCCCCATTAACTATGTTAGAAGGTCGCAAAAGCAGATCACGAGACCCCGGGAATCTGCAATCGTTGTAAAGTTGAGTCAGTTTTGTCAACCTTCTGAATTTCGGTCATGGGACCACGGGCGTGGGACGCGGATCAGCTGTAAGTGTGAAAAATGGTCGTAAGTCCCCTTTTTCCAGTGGCATCGTAACTTTGAACGGTCACTAAATGAACTGTTGTAAGTCGAGGACCACCTGTACTGTAGTTCTTAGTCAGACGTACACAAACGCACTCCGTAGTATCATCTCACCCTTTTGTTCTTTGCTATCGTCAAGGCAGTGTCGTTGTGGTAATTTTTCAGGCTGCCGTCCGCCCCGTTCCTCACCAGAAGCCGCAGCATGTCCAACAGGCCTCTTCCGCTAGCTGTGTGGAGTGCTGTATTGCCCCCGTAGGATTGGGCATTCACGTTGGCGCCATGCTGTAAAACGGGCACAACACTTTAAGGATGCGCAACCACCGAGGTCGCAGAAATTCTGCATGCACGCTTGCCAAAAATTCAGGGCATTTGAGGAAATGAAAAGATAAGACGGGACTTATGGAACGGAAAATATTTGCTCAGGGATCAATTTCGTATTTGCCGGTCTTTACAATTCTAGGCTGGATTGGTTTACAACTTTTCTGCCACAGTGTGAACACTTTGATCAATGTTAACAATGGTTTATTACAAACAAGCCGCATTTAAAGTCATGGTTACTGAGTGGCGGTATTGCTACAGGGTTTATGATAATCGTATCCATTGACCCCAGATGACAAAATAAATGATAGTTTGGGGAAGTGGAAGTTTGTCAGTGTTTCCTCAGATTTGACTACTTTAAGTTGTGTGGACTTCAACTCCCAGGATTCTCCAGCCAGCCATGCTGGCTAGGGAATTCTGGGAGTTGAAGTCCACAGAACTTAAAGTGGCCAGATTTGAATCTTTCCATATAATTTGCACTAAACTATTGTTTATTGGAATCAAACAATTGTCAAAATATTTTTCTTGTGTTTCTTTTAAAAAAAAAAACAGTTTAAGGCTGAGAGAGGATTTTTCTCAAGAAGGGCAAATCATCCTTTACCTGTAGCAACAACTCCACCATATCCAAATTATTGTTCTCCACAGCATGTAGTAGTGGAGATCGGCCACTCTTTATATCCTAAAAACAAGAGTCAATAAGAGTTGGTTACAACTAGCATTAAGTTGGGAACATTAATTAAATTTACAATTCCGAAACCATTATTCTTTCCCTTTTCTCCATTTACTCTTTAAAAAGCAGTAGTTAACATTAGCACAGTCTTCTATGATGCTCTGAAGTCTGAATCCCCATACAGTGGGGAACACTGTTGGAAACCAATAACTCTGAAATAGATAATGTGTGAGGCTTAAATTCTCATGGGAAAAAACAATAATTTTGCTATAATGTAATTCTGTTGTACAGTAAACTCCCAGACATGCACGGTAACAATTTATTTCAAATTCATTAACTCCTCATCAAAAAATTATCCAAAGGTCTGAAGTCTGAATTCCCATAGAAACATTGGGGAACATTATGGGGAACATATTAGGGCCACTTAAGCTCTCATGGAAAAACATAATAATTTTGCTATATTCCAATGGAATTCTGTTGCATTATGCACTGTTGTACTAGTGCAAGATGCAAGTTTGCAGGCAGGCAAACATATTAACTCTTCATTAAAAAATGTATCAAAGTAAGATGGCATCATAACAAAATATAGCCACTCAACTCTAGCTTGGGCCTTTTTTTGTCTGTTTTCCTCCTTGTCCTTTCCTCCATCTACTCAAACATTCCTTTTAAAAATTCCAACCCTCCACCAGTCAGTTGTTTAAAATTGTATCATCCTATTCCACAACCCGTCTCCCGGAATTTTTCCTCTGCTTATTCATTTCAAGTTCTTTTTGTTTACTTTTGTAAAACAAACTTTCCCATTAATCAGAACACCTCCCGAGTTTCATTTAACCATCCCGGGTTTCACTGAAGCAAATACATGCAAAATATCATGTAACTTTACGGTTCACTAACAGGTCCCTCCATTTCATCCTTTAATTATTCATGGCTTGTAATCAATCGCAGAGATCAGCTGAGTTTTTGTGCAGTTTCTCTCAGCTCATTTCTTCCTTCCCACACCAACAAAATGAACAATACCCAATATCTGTAAGAGATTACCAGGCTGAGCCTGAGGGAGGCGTCAAACGTGTCATAAGTCACCAGTCCCTGCATGTCCAGGTAACAGATCTAAGTCCAGCCCACCTTGAACGCCTCTCTTATCTCCGTCTCATTTCCCTGAACGGCCAGTTGGCCAGATTCTTGTCGAGAACTTGCAATAAATCTTTATACTCATTGAACTGCCTGAATCTCCTGATTTCCCGGGCGCTTGACAATAACCTCTTGAACTCCGTACTTACCACGGCATCTACATCTGCCCCGTGATCCAGCAAAGCAAGAACAATGTCACGATTCAAAGATGCAACAGCTAAATGCAACGGGGTAAAACCTATTCGAAGACAACAAGGGGGAACACAATAGGGACATTTCAAAAACGAGAAACAGTTCCAGATACAGGTAGCCCTCCACTTAACGACCACAAATAAGCCCAACATTTCTGTTGCTAAGCGAGTTTGACTCCATTTCTTGCTATAGTTGCTAAGGGAATCATTGCACTTGTGAAGTTAGGAACACGGCTGTTAAGTGAAGCTGGCTTCCCCTGTTGGTTAGAAGGTCGTAAAAAGAGATCACATGACCCCGGGAAACCACAACTGTCATAAATATGAATCAGTTGCCAAGCACCTGAATTTTGATCGCACGACTAGGGGGATGTTACAACTGTCGTGTGAAAAATGCTTCTAAGCCACTTTTTTCAGCAGTGTAACTTTAAAAGGTCCCTAAAGGAACTTCTGTAAGTCGAGGTCTTACCAGAAAAGGGACTCAAATGTCAATTGCTAAGCAAGGCAGTTATTGAGTGAGTCCACCATTTTGTGACCTTTTTTTTGCTACCGTTGCAAAATGAATCACACGGTCCTTAAGCAAATATGACTCCGCCCACATTGACTTGCTCATTGCCTGGGAAGGCCGCAAATGGCGATCACGTGACCGAAAGATGCTGTTGTCAACTCATAAAATATTTCCATGGTCTTTTTCGAATTGCCAACAGAAAGGCGGGGGGAGGAAGGGGTTTGAAAGAGCAAGTGTGGCAGCTTGGAAATCAAAAGTGCATTCCATAAATAGTTTTTCAAAGATAGTAACTAGGTGACTGAAGTTTTTGCTGGGCAAATATCTAGCTGGAGAACATGACTGATGACTCTTGGTTATGGATGTGTCTCATTGGAGAATATGAATTACGATACACCCAGGGGGGTGGGGAAAAAAACAGGCTGAAGGGCGACAATTAATTATGTGTCTCAGAGTTGGCTACACCCAGGCAGTGCCGGACATTTTAACTCCCGATAAATCCTTTTGAAGTTTTGGAAGTTTGGCTTGAGACTCAGGATTTGCTGCATTGGTTGTAAATACATGTGCCCAATTTTTGATCGCATGGTTACAGGGGATGCTAGGATTGTTCAGTGTGAAGACTGATCATAAAGTCCTTTCTTTCAGTACCAGTCAGTAAATGAATGGTTATAAGTCGAAGACTCTGCTACAAACTCTTTAAATCGTCTGGAATTTTTCGACGATCTTATTTCGTCATGTCAACCGATTAGGTCTCCCTCGCTCACCCTCGAAATTCCGGGCCTCGAGATCCAGTGTGGCTGGACTTCCTTCCAACAACTCCTGCAGGCACCGGAGGCTCCTGTGTTCACAAGCCAGATGGAGGGCAGATTGTCCATGCCGGTCCAGCACCATGGGAGATGCTCCGTGGGACAGTAGAAGTTTCACCAGGGAAGGCTGAGCTATGATAACTGCCAAGTGTAAAGGAGTCTGGAAGGGGGGTAAGAAAAGGGACTGATCACCGCCAGAGAATACATGGAATTCTCTTTCTTTCTTTCTTTCTTTCTTTCTTTCTTTCTTTCTTTCTTTCTTTCTTTCTTTCTTTCTTTCTTTCTTCTTTCTTTCTTTCTTTCTTTCCTTCCTTCCTTCCTTCCTTCCTTCCTTCCTTCCTTCCTTCTTTCTTTCTTTCTTTCTTTCTTTCTTTCTTTCTTTCTTTCTTTCTTTCTTTTTCTTTCTTTCTCTCTCTCTCCCTCCCTCTCTCCCTCCCTCCCTCCCTCCCTCCCTCCCTCCCTTCCTTCCTTCCTTCCTTCCTTTCCTATGTTTATTATTTCTAAAATTAACTCAAGGTGGGGAATATATCCAGCCCAACTTCCTCCCTTCTATTTTCCCTAAAACAACAACCCTGTGAGGTGAGTTAGGTTGAGAGAACGGGTATGGCCCAAAGTCACCCAGCTGGCTTTTTCATGCATAAGAAAGGACTAGAATTCACAGTCTCCTGATTATTGACCCAAAGTCACCCAATCAGCTTTCATGTCTAAGGTAGGACTAGAATTTACTGTCTCCTGGTAATTGGGCCAAAGTTAACCAGTCGGCTTCCATGCCTAAGGTGGGACTAGAACTCACCATCTCCTAATGATTGGCCCAAAGACACCTAGCTGGCTTCCATGCCTAAGATGGAACTAGAACTCACCAATTACTGATGATTGGCCCAAAGTCACTCATATGTTTTTCATGCCTACGGCAGAACTAGAACTCACAATCTTTCACTTTCTAGCCTGGTGCCTTAATGGCAGCTAAATTTATTCAGTTAAAAGCCCCTGGGTTTTTCTGTAAAGGGCTTATTTACACACGCATACACACACCCAAACACACACACACACCACACACACACACCAGATGAGCCTCGATATGCCCAGACCTGCCTAGAATTTTTAACCAAACCCTTTAAAACGGATTTTTAAAAAGTAATGCAAACCAACGTAGCATTAAGTAAGAAGAAAGGAAAGAAAGAAAATTTTAGAAAAAGTGCAAGAAATGAAAACGAAAACAAAACAAAAAACAAAAACAAAGCCGCCTTTTTGTTTTAAGACAATTCGCCCTCCGGGGTCCCTTGCTCAGATGGGCGGCCATATAGAAAAAACTAAAATAAATTTTAAAAATGAGTAAAAAACAGCCCGAATCTAAATTCAACTCCCGAATTGAACACGCCGGGCTTAAGGTTTCTGCTACAGGAACACGCATTTTCATGCACAGCGTCTCCCACGCTTGATTGGTGCGAGAAAGCTGGTTGGGCTACGCGGGTCATTTCTGGGTAACGGCACCCGCTTGCAGAGGAAGCCAACACACAACAAACAGAGACACCCACAAGGCAGAGCCCACTGTCCTCGGTGCTCTTCCGAGGAACCACGGCCCTGCCAATGCCCGGCAGCTCTCACCGGCTTCGTCTCAACAGCTCTTACTCATCCGATTCGGAGGAAACCAGCTGAGTTCTCATGATCAGACCGCATCCCTTACACCTGCCGGCACTCATGCAGCTGGGGGTTTCTCAGAAAAGGTGGGGGGGACTGGGTTTATATGAAGGTTTATAAGAAACAGAGAAGGAAATGATGGCAGGGGGCGGAATGGGAGCCACGTGCGGGACAGGTGCAACCCAAAGACGTACCCCTCTTGCCCCGTCCCAGTAAGATTGCTAGCATGCGGGAAATGCAGGCAGACTTCTGTTAGGAAGGCACAGCTCGCCTTGGCAAACGTTTCATTCATTCCATCGTGCATGCATGCATGCATGCATTCATGCAGTCATGCATGCATTGACTGAAAATAAATGACACGTATAAAATGAATGAAGTTTTAATTGCCATCCATCTCGCATCCAGCAACTCTGGATGGCTCACAAGATAAAAAGTTCGAAACAATCGTTAAAGTCATCAATTGTTAAAAAATAAAACCTCCCACCCACCCACCGTAGAGAGACACTTTTACAGAAGTTAACGAAAGGCAAGGAGTCCTCGCTTAGCCACCACAATTAGCCACTTGGTCATTAAACGGAGCAGCCACCCAATGCAATCATCATGATTTTAGGGGTCTGACTTCAGCTGTGTTTTGCTTGGCAGACCTGGGAAGCTTGTAAATGTGAGGAATGGTTGCAGAGTTATTTTTTTCCCCCCTCAACGTCAGAACAATTGCCGGAGAGAGATGGTCACTAAATGAGAACTAATGGTAGTTTGTTTCCAAACCAAGGGGCCATGTGCAGTTTAGGAGTCTAAACTTTTACTGGAGATCTATTTAACGCAGGCGAGAGAGTGGGGAAACAGGATAGCAAAATAGAGTGTCAATTTTTCTGCTTCTCCCTGGCTAGCTGGAGAATTCTGGGAGTTGAAGTCCATACAGAATTAGAATAGAATAGAGCTGGGAGGGACCTTGGAGGTCTTCTAGTCCAGCCCTCTGCTCAAGCAGGAGAACCTATACCATCTCAGACAAGTGACTGTCCAGTCTCTTCTTAAAAACTTCCAGTGATGGAACACCCACAATTTCTGGTGGCAAGCTGTTCCAATGGTGAATTGTCCTCACTGTTAGGAAATTTCTCCTAAATTCCAGGTTGCTCCTCTCTTTGATAAGTTTCCATCCATTATTTCTTGTCCTGCCTTCTGGTGCTTTGGGGGATAATATGACACCCTCTTCTTTGTGGCAGCCCCTCAAATACTGCAATACTGCTATCCTGTCACCCCTAATTCTTCTTTTCCTTAGACTAGCCAGACCCAAAACCAGCAGCCGTTCTTCATCTTAAAGTTATAAAGGTTGAGGAACACTAGTCTATATAACTCCAAAGATCAGAACTGTGCAAACCACAGTAACTACGATACTCTCAGAAAGTGAAAGTTGAACTTCAAAGAAGCAGGAAAGGATAAGACTTCCCCATAGGTGGCCAAGAAATCAAATCAATGGATCATCTCAAAGTTCTCACCCTAGGAGCAAAAGACCAGGCTCAAATTATCCTACTTTGAACACCTTACGTGAACACAGCACATAGATAATGTGCTCTCATTCAGCCAGTGGCCCGTAGACCCCTTGGAGGGGGCCACGAAGTCATCCCAGGGAGTGATGCAAAGCCTTGAAGAAATGTTATTATTTAGGTTGAGAACCACTGGTATAATGCATAAAGGAATGATGAAGGTGAGAATCTCTTGCCTGAGCAGGGGGTTGGACTAGACGACCTCAAGGTCCCTTCCGTCCCTGTTGTTCTATGCTCCAAACAAAGACGTCAGAACAAAGCCACGAGCCCTGACCCCAATTTCCTCCTGGTGCTTCTAATCAGGCTTTGCTGACCATGAAGCAAGTTCTCTTGAGCAATTGTTTGAGGAAGTGACTCTTGAGTTTTTGCCACCAGCAGAGCTAGGGAAAGTCCCAGGGGTGGAGAGAGAGGGGGGGTGGGGTGCAGGCAGAGCCCAAATGGTTGCCACAGGAACTACTAAGCCAACAAACTGTGTTCTCTGCCCGGTACAAACGTTAAGAAGAGGGGATGGCGAGGATGCAATCAAAGTACCGAGGGCAGGGTCAAAGAAGTCAAAATGGCGGTGGCAATGAGGCAATCGAAACACAGGGCATGATGAAATAAGTCAAAATGGCGGTTACAAGGAGGCAATCAAAGTGCCAGCGAAGGGTCAAAGAAATAAAATTGGTGGTCGCAATGAGGCAATCAAAGACCAGGGAAGAGTCAAAGAAGTCAAAATGGCGGT